AGCGCCGTGGGTCTTCTGCTAATTCACTTACCGAGCAGATCGCGCAGTTGAGTAAGGGGGCTCAGCAGATGGCACATAAGATGGTACTTTTGACAGAGAAAATAACCACCCTTCAAGAGGCTCTAGACGAATCAAACAAGCGTAAAAGCCGCAAGCGGCGATACGTACGGACAGAAGAGACTCTTACTGTAGGCGAGGTACAAGAAGTATTAGCTGAACAGGCGGGTAGTAGTCGTGGCGACGGTGAGAGTGCGTCGAAGAGGGTGCGAGGAGAGAGGCGGTGCGGGCGTTGTAAGCAGACTGGACATAACGCTCGTACCTGCGCAGTTGATATAGATAGTGCAAGTGATAGCAGCGATTCTAATAATTAATTTAGTATATTGTAATAGTTTATTGACTGTGATAAAAGTGCGTGATAACGTCTCGACGTCGACGCGCTGGTGGGGCGTGAGCGACTCGCTTGGGTGAGCGACTCGCTTGTGAACTACGTTATATAAACACTTAGACCTTTAGTCTTCCTTCTTACTTAAGCTTATTTATATATAGCTAACTACGTTATTTAGTCACGTGACTAAAGTTATGTGACTTACTACTATGTGACCTGTAGGCTATACCTCTCTAGCGTAGCCCTTTACATACTTTATATATAACTATAAAAGTCTTTACTATATTTAGAGGCTTAAAACAATATAAAAAAAGAGAAATACTACTTTCTATATTAAAGAGTTAATAAGGCTCTAGAGCCTCTTATAAAAGAAGTATAAAAGCTTATAATAAGTATAAAAAAGCTTATATTATATAATAAGCCTAATAGAGTTTTAAAATAAAGATAAGTAAAAGAAATAAGGAAGCTAGCTTATAAAATTAGTTATAGTAGTATTACTTAGTAGTATTACTCAACTTCAGTTTTTATTTTAAAGCTAATTCCCTTTATAAAGAAGTGCTAAAAAGAAAGACTATATATTTTTATTTAAGAAGCTAAGGTATCTTTATATACTTACTACGCTTAAAGAACTATATACTAGAATATTAAAGTAAAGTAACTTTTATAGCTAAGTAATTTACTCAATTTTAATGCTATTAAAGTAGCCTAGCTATAGCTTAAAGGTAAAATAATCCAAAGAGGCATACTAAAAAGTTAAGTAAAAGATATAAAAGTATAATAATAGTACTAGAATAAGCTACTTTAATACTAAATTTAAGCTTAAATAAAGCGTATTTTATTATATATTTAGGAAATTATCAAACTTAAAAGTAGTAATAAGTACAAAGAAGGGCAGCGGGACTAATCTACATAGCTTTAGCCATATTTTTAGCGGTAGTTAATGCACTCCTGTTAGCAAGAACTTTTGACAGTCACCTCCGTACTATATAATGCCTACATGCCTACAGGTACAGAGCAGCCCGCGTGCCCCGGCGAGCCCGCCAGGACCCTCTGGTTCCCGCCTCCTTGTGCATCCATGTACAAGTAGAGTATGCTGCATCAACCCTCACAGCCTCCCCGTTGTTGACCACGGCCCGCTTGCGCTCGACATGCGCGGCAAACGTGTCTCTGCCTGCGCCCCCTCGCCCAGCCAGTCGGAAGTCCAGTCGCCAGCCCGTCGTGGGCCCAGAGGCGAGTAGGGTAGCGTAGCATAGGCCCAGGGTACTGTATCCAGAGTACCCTACATAGCCCATGGCCCATCGCACCGCTCCTCTAATGTCAACGCTGCTGGTCCGACATGCTAGGCGTACCCTGCTCACAGCTTCGTCGTCTTGCTGCCAACGCCCGTCTTGTTCCGTCTTCGGAGAGAGAGAGGGAGGGGACAAACGCGCCTCGTTTCAGGTTTGCGGACCAGGCCTTTCCCCGCACGCCGTCCATGGCCCCAATCACCAACCGGCATAGGGTGGGATTCGCGGAACCGGCTAAAAGCTGCCCAAAGGCGCTCCCGTAGAACTGGGAAAGTCGGATTGAAAATGGCCGACAAGCCCCCTTCAGACAGTGAGCGCATGGAACAATGCTGTACTGCATCTAGGTAGGTGGGCATGCAGGCAGAATAAAAAGTCAGTGTGAGGGCAGGGCGGATAGGCGCACGTGTCGTGTGGGTGTACTTGTACTGTAGCTTCAGCCCAGCAAGCTTCCCTGACGGCCTTGCCCGTGGCCTTGCCTCCCTCCCGGCACGTGTCGCTGACATAAGCACACCCCCAGTCCATGTCGCATTCCACTCAAGCCACCCTACGACAAAGAGTGTTTCCCGCTCCTGTCTGATGATGGACTGCAAGTCACGTCCCCCGCACGCTAGACCGCGGGAACTGTCATCTTCTGCCATGTCTGCCACACTCTCCTTTCCTACCACTACCACACCTCATGCTTTGCTCGCCTCGCCTTTGCCACAGTCCCAAAGCGGCAAGCGCGTGCGCGCTCCTTCCCCAGACCATCCAGCCTCCCCACTCAGCGCTGTGTGCTTGCTTAGCCCACACACACTTCGGCCTGCCCGTCCCTCACATGCTGAACAACGCCCGCTGCAAACACTACACATGGAAACACGCCCATTCCCGGCATCCCGCCCATGCCTCCCATACATGCTCCCCGGCTCTGCCCTTGCAACCCGACGTCTTGTCATGACTGGCCCGTCAGCCCACGAGCTGATTCGCCTACTCCCTCCCCTCATCTGGCGCAATCGGACCCGCACTGCGTGAAAAGACTGGCCGACTACTATAACTGCACCTAGCGCCCCCACCTCCGCCTCGCCCGTCCATCTGTATGCTCCACAGCCATGTCGGTAGCTCTCAAGAACCTACTCAATCTAATCACCACCTCGGCCAGCCATGTCGCCTTCAATCCAATCATAACAGCCACCCTCCTCTGGGCACTGACAAAAGGCCCTCTGCAGCTCCGCGCCCACCTTACCAACAGCATCGCCGCTCTCCGCGATCCTGCGCGCTACGCCCTGGTTGTAAAAGCGCTGAAAGTATGCCTTGCTTTTGGCACAGTGCGGGTTTTCAACAAGCAGCTGAACCATATCGCCTTGAATGCAGGAAGGCTCCGCAGCGACAGAGCAAGGTGGAACTGGACCCGCGAGGTGGCCGTCATCACGGGCGGCTGCTCGGGAATTGGAGAGCTGACAGTCCAGAGACTGGTCAACAAGGGCATCAAAGTCGCCATACTCGACATTAAACAATTGCCCCCGAGTCTGCAGGGCGGTACGCCGCTGCTCTCCCATCATAACGCCTGTTCCCATGCTAATAGCAATGCTTAGTTCCAAACATTAGCTTCTATGCCTGCGACATCACAAACCCAAAGGCCGTTTACTCGACTGCAGACCAAATCAAGGAAACCCTTGGCGCCCCTACTATCCTCATCAACAATGCAGGCGTCTTGGCCATGCATACCATTCTCAATGCTCCTGATGACTTTCTCCGCACCGTCTTTGACGTCAATGTGCTCAGCAACTGGTATACCACCAAGGCCTTCCTACCAGACATGCTGCGGAACAACAAGGGCCACATTGTCACAATCGCCAGTACCGCAAGCTTTGTCGGTGTTGCAGGCATGGGTGATTACACAGCGACCAAGGCGGCCATTTTGGCGTTTCACGAATGTTTGTCGCCCACGCGTGTGCTCCTCTACCTCCACAAGATGCTGACCCGTCCACAGCGCTCAACCAAGAGCTCAAGCACCATTACAACAGTCCAAAGGTGCTCACCACATCAATCCACCCAAATTGGGTGCGCACACCGCTCCTGAGACCCGTCGAGGACGAGCTCAACAAGCACCGCGTCGAAATCATCGAGCCCTCTGTTGTTGCTGATGCCGTTATCGAGAGCATCACGAGGTGCAGCGGCGGACAGATCATGCTGCCAAGCAGCGCCTCCAAGGCGAGCCTTGTGAGAGCGCTACCAAATTGGATCCAGGAGAGTGTCAGAGGCGATGTGAGCAAAATGCTCCGCAACACGGTGCAGTAGCTGCGGTAAAACATGCATTTCAGTCTCGGCCTCTAGCTAGTTATACATGCCAATAATATAGTATGCGCCCCACACGTCGGCTTCGGCGACTCTGACGCGAGGAGACACTCTGTGTGGTACATGCACATGACTTGCAGCTGCAACATGCCATTATGGGCAGGTCGGGGGGAAAAGGGTTGAAAACTGTATGCAATGTGCCGTGTACGCATCAAGTGTGGGTGGGTTCTCTGCCTGTACAGGGCGGGCTAGCGGCTCGGGGCATCGCGTAACAATCCACCGAATCGAACGCGTCGCGTCTGCCGCAAACCATCACTTTACTACCACATCGAGCCAGCAAAGCCCAACCCGCCCTTTTCGGCAGTACTACATTCCCCTCCCCCCGCAATGGCAGACACCCAGGAGGATGTCCCCATGGACACGCAAGACATTGAGCTCGAGACGCCTCTCTCCGACGTCTTCATGCCGCCGTCAATCTCCAAGTCGGATATCCTGGGTGGTAGTTCCTATTCGTACTTTTCGCCCATCCCCGAGCAGATTGCACAAGACATGTCGCGCGAAGTTGTACTAGGCGTCGACGAGGCGGGAAGAGGCCCCGTATTGGGTACTGCGTCTCCAGCCATCCCAGACCATGACCGCCACTGACGCTTGCAGGCCCCATGGTATACGCCCTCTTCTACCTACCCATTGAGATGCACCACTCCCTCCTCGCCGAGACGCACCACTTTGACGACTCCAAAGTCCTCAAGGCCGACGTCCGATCCAATCTCATGCGCACGCTCTGCACGCAGGGCACCGATCTGTACGAAGCCGGCGGGTGGGCCACAAGGCTGTTATCCGCCCAAGACATTTCGGCGCACATGCTCTCGCCGTCTGTCTACAACCTCAATGCCCAGGCCATGGATGCGACGATTGATCTGATCAAGGGGGTGCTGGCAAAGGGCGTCAACGTCAAGGAGATCTACATTGACACCATCGGCAAACCCGAAATCTACCAGAAGAAGTTGGAGAGAATATGGCCCACCATCAGCATCACCGTCGCAAAGAAAGCCGACAGTCTGTATCCAGTCGTCAGCGCAGCATCGGTTTGCGCAAAGGTGACGCGTGACGCCGCACTCGACGTGTGCTACGAGCCCTATCACCACCGCGACGCGGATGCTGCCGACGGTGCACAAGTCCACGTTGCATGGGGATCGGGATATCCGTCGGATGCGCGGACATCAGCATGGATGAAGCAGAACATGGACCCGCTCTTTGGCTGGGGTAGCGAGACTCGCTTTTCCTGGGGCACGGCCAAGGAGTTGCTCGAAGGGAACAAGGCTGACGTCAGTATCGACTGGCCTGACCACGACGACGGCAACGGCATGCGCATGACGGACTTTTTCAACGGCCAAAACGATGCTGCCGGAGATGAACTCGTCGACTGGTTTGGGAAGCGTGTGACGGAGGAAATGGAGGTGTTTTGATTGCCTTCCGCAACCTAAGGCATCCTTGCACAGACCTCATTGCAACCGAGGGCGGCGAAGCACACGACACTCTTTGGCCACGACGAGTCAAATTTTCGCCTACAACTGTATCCTGACTCGGAGACCAGGGCTTATCGACACGGTCGCGTCTATCGGTCCGTTCAGCCCTCTGCACAGGCCAGCAGCGACACTGGCTCTCCAACATCCCACACATGCTCTCCAGAACTGGCCATCCCACGCCCGCCAGTCCAAGCGTGGCCTGCCATTATTGCAGCAATCTCACCTCTGCTGCTGACAAGGGCAACCCTTTGTGTCATTATACTCTTGCACAGTTCCGGTACGGTAAAGCCCAGTTAGTACTCACGAGCCCCCTTGTTGGGACCATTTCGGCCACTGCATGTGCTTTTATGTCTATGCGTCCCATCCTGCACGGAGTCTAGGCGCGCACGTACGAGTGTTGACATGCGCTTTATAGTAAACTCACTGGTGCTGATGCAAATGACCAGTCGTCATCCCGCCTTCACTCCATATCGGTGCCATTCCGTCGCTTAATACAAAAACAGTAGCCACTCGCCATTTCCACCCCATTTTCTTTTTGCCTTTGACGCATCGCTGTGAACCCGTGATCCGCCTATAACACGACCGCCCCACCCTCGTACACCTTCGCTTTCGCTCTCGCTTTCCTGGAGAGGTCCCATACGCCGTACCAATGTGCAACCAGACTGTCCATAGCCAGCCGACTATACATGCCAGTGCGACCAAGCACCAGCCTACCAAGGAGCCTGAATTGAAGCACAGCGAGCCCTCACCATGCTATCAAGCGCAACAAGGCACCGCCGCAATCCACCCTAGTAACTTGTGCGAACGAAGAGGTGGTGTTGCCGCGCGCGGCGCAGGTAGTCATTCCAGGGTCCCCATTCCATGCGCAAAACCGAGAGCCAACGCCCCCATACATCGCAGCTTCACACGACACGAGGAAGACCAAGACGAAGATGAAGATAGCAGCTATGAAACATATTCGATTTCTCCCCCACTCTCCCCCAAAACAATAGTGCACCCACGAACCCTCAGGAACCAGCGCAACTATCTATCCACAACATCATACCAGCATCCTTCGCTGAAGCGCAGAACAGGCTGGAAACCAAGTCTAAAGGAGGAACTTTTACGCAGGACATCTATTGAAGCTGCTGCCATGGGATACGCAGACCCGCGCTCCACACGCACAAGTCACTCACCAGATACTACTCCCACCACTACCACTACCACAACCACAACCACAACCACAACCACAACAACAACAACAACAGCAAATACAACAACAAAAAGCTCGGATCCCTCAAACAAAGACTCCACAAATACGCCACAACAAGAGGAGCAGCAGCAGCCACGACGCCGTCGGGGATCGACACTCCTGCACCCCTCGTCACCCGTAGCAACGCCCGCGGTCCCCTCAGCATCCTCGTCATGCTCAGCAGCAATAGCAAAAGCGCCTCCAACGAACAACGCACCAGATACACCTCCGCCATCACCCTGTCCACCCTTTTTCCCCCACCACCTCATGCTACCCCCTCGAAAAGGCTCATCCCTTCTTCACCCTTCACCGCCTCCAAACGCGATACCATTGCACGCGACTGGGCAATTTAAAACCGTCTTGTCTTTTCCCCCGAGAAAGATATGGGCAGACGGTAATCGCATAAGCGGCGGACCCTTGTCGCCAGCGTTATCCCCGACGTCTCCGTCGTCGTTGGTAGATACGGGTGCAGCGTCACAAGATGACATTGTTGGTGGCGGCGGCGGCGGTGGTGCTGGTGCTGGTAGCAAAGGGAAACAGCCGCAGCAGCAGCAGCAGCAGCAGCAGCAGCGGCGGCAACGACGATGGCGCGGCCGACAAGAATCCGTGGTGCATTCTTGTTTTTCAGAAGCAGAGACGGAAACAGAGGCAGAGGCAGACATGGACAGCGATGACAACGACAACGACAACGACGAGCAACAGCAGCAGCAACAGCAACAGCAGCAGCAACAGCAACAGCAGCAACAGCACGAGGACGCAAATGAAGCGTTTCGAGGCAAGAATAGGAACAGAGGACTCACGATTCGACCAAAGGGCAACTGACACACACACACACAGAGAGAGAGAGAGAGAGAGAGAGTAATGAGTTGGGGAATATTGGTGGTAACCATGGGCTTCGACACGCGCAATCGGTAGCGAGGCAGAGCGCGCCCAAGCACATGTCGCCAACAACGAGAGTCTTTTCGGGTTGGAGTTTGTTGTGTTGTTGTTTTCTCTTCTACTAGCCATGGCTATATGACTTATCTATATCCATACAATCCCTACTGCACCACAGTATAAATATAATGTTTATTGGTGTGGGTCATTTCCTACCGTCCTGGTGCTCGTCTGCCCAATACATCCTGCACCTCTCAAGTCAACCGTGTTCCATGAAGCCTCATCCAAGGCCTTTGCTTGCTTGACATCACACGCACAAGCACCCTGTAGCATCAATGTGTACGGTTTATTCAACACACTAGTCATGTACGCTCGTTACACCATCCTTGCCTTCCGGCATACCGGGTCATATTACTTGCACAGCGCCAGTAGCACCCTACGCTCCCACCCTGTGTCCTCAGTCCAAACCCAGTCAATATTCCACCAACCTCAACCGACGCCCAATGTTCCGGCGTATCACGTCGCGCTCGACGGGTTCGGCCTGTGCTCGGTTGGCGTTGAGCGCCTGACGCAGCATACCCGCGTCGAAGAAGCCATCTATGCAAAAGAAGATCAAAATCAGCAAAATGAAAATATAAAACAACGCAATCGGCGGCGAATGCTCGTGAATCGGAGAGAGAGAAAGAAAAGTGCAATGTGTTATGGATCTTCAGAGCTCTAGTCCTGCAAGCAATATCATGACGCTAAATGGCAGACTTGGAAAAAGACCAAAGGAAATCAAGAAGAATAGAAAATCGGCTTCTTCTTCGTGGCCGCTCCCTGCGTTCCACTCCTCGCTCGCACCGTCTTAACAACAGGTATCGGCTTCCATTGTGAGCTTGACAAGACCGCCGTCATGGGCTTGAACGGCGGCGAGTGAGGCGGGGTCGGCGGGAGGGCCGTACGTGAAAAAGAAGAAGTAGAAGGAGAGTCGTCGCTCGAGATCTCATCAAGGGAAAGTAGAGAAGGGGGGGAAGGGGGAGTCCTACATCCACCTAGACCATCGTCATCATCGTCGTCTGCTACGCTCTCCGAGGGCGTCTGTTGTTTGGCTCCATCGCCTAGGATAATTTTTCCTCTGCTCTTGACGCGACTAGCCAGTGGTCTGTCCTCAGCCTCGCGCGCTCGCGTGGCCGTCTTGTCAGCAGAAGTACCACGGCGTTTGATCTGTCGCAGCAGTTTGCGGATTTCCAGAAAGTATGATTCCAGTGCGTCAATGTAACGGCTTGTTTGTCGGTGCTTGGAAGATGCGCAAATGGAAATACTGCCATCCTTGATGATGTAGCCAATGCCAAAGCCTTCAGCAGATGTAGGGCCAAAGCCAAATTGGCGAAGAGATGGGTTACCGCAATTTGAAGTGGAAAGGATGGTTTGGTTAATCTTGTCCCAGCCAGCGTCTGCAAAGAGTGCAGGCATCGAGTGCTGTACTGGCGCATGCGGTGGCGAGCTGGAAATGGAACCATTCTCTGAAAGAACCGAGTTACGGTTAGGTGACGTGACGCCAGAAGCATTGGCGCTTGACGGTCCTGTCGAGTCCCAACCATCGCTGCTGGTTATTTCCTGGGACTCGTCGATAGCGCGCTGCCATATGCAATACAGCGCGTAAAGATGTCTGTCTGGGCCCTGTGCTTTTGAGCAAATCTTGGTGTTCTCGGTGTGCTTCTGACAGGCTTTGCGAAGTGCGTCGATCTTCTGCGCCGCAGGGTTCTCGCCCCAGAACGTCTTTAGGAACTCGACCGACTCTTCCGTGACGGATCGAATAGCTTCAGTTCGCCCGTGGTAAAAGATCTTGGTCATGGCAGGCTCATATACACACTCGATCCTGCCGTACAAACCGTAGTAAGCAGCCTGAAAGGCCATTTGAACAAAGGCATCAGGCGAGAAGCCCATCGATGTCATGAAGTTTTTTCCATAGTGGGGGAATTCAAGCGTCGCGAACTCGTTCTGCTGAATGAGGTCTGCTAGACGGGTCTCAGCGAAGCGCAGGGCAGTCCCTAGCTCAGGCACCATGTCCCACTCCAGTTTGTGGGGTGTAGTTTGGACATCGCCGAAGCTTTCTGGGTCGCGCTTAGCAGGGTCGGGACTTGATGAAGCCCACAAGCTGGGCGCACTGCCGTTGATAGTTCTGGCAAAGCGAAGGATAGTGTCTGTGTAGACGTCGGAAGCGAATCGTAGTACGGTGTGACCATCAACGCCAGTGTGTTCAAAGTTGATACCTGCACTTCCGTTCTTGCAAACGATGATCTGCAGCTTGTCATACCAGCGATTTGTGCATGTGCCTACTTGGACTCCGCGTTCAATCTTGCTTGTGCCGCAAAGCATGTTCATGCAAAGATCCGCGCCCGTCTGTGGCTCGGTGTAGTCAAGGCATAGTACGAATAGCGCAGAATCGACAATGTTCAGACAATCAGAGTTGTTGGAACCTTCTTCCCTGTGGAGGACGTCGCGAAGACCAGCCCAGACCTTTCGGTTTTCTGTGCTCAGCACACCCAGTGCTCCTTTGGCGGCTTCCTGGATTGGTACCTCCTGTGCGTCATCGATAATAACCTGCAGATTGAGGGCAATATCCTTCTCGGTCATAATCAGGTCATGATTGTCGTCCATAACATCGAACCAGTAAACTTGGCCATGGCACATGACAACGATATGCTTGGAGGTTGGGTCCTGACCGATCTGGCATCCATTTTCGGTCGGTATTCTCGCGGTGCCAAACAGACGTGAGTACTGGTACATGCACAGGGGCTGGCCGCGGACGGTGTCGGGAGGGAGCTCTTCTCGACGAACAGCTCTGACGAATGCTAATGCTGAGACCACCAATGACGCTGCGCGAGTAACTTGGTTGTTGCGAGCCGGGGTAGGGTCATCTTCCAGTAAGAAGAAGGGGTTTAGATTGAGTACGACTGGATTTTCGTAGTTCAGATATGAATCGTACCCTAGAGATGGGTCAGATCATGCATAGAGATATTGATAACAATTTCGGATCGCCAAAAAAAGCCCTTGACCGGAAACGAGGCAATCCGAAAGCTCAGTGGCACTTACAGAACTGCTCAATGTAGTTTGCCTTTCCACTTGCATACTTTTTCAGTTTCTCTTGAAGTACCGGGCCCTCGGATTTTAAGAAGTCTTCTACCGCATGGACGGTGTCACTGTGTTCCTTTGGCGTCTGGAGAGGCTTTAGGGCAGCAATGTACTTTTTGCATGAGCTTTCAAGCTCTGGGATGGGAAGCTTTGGAAGACTGTCTTGATGGGCAAATGTAATGCCTGGCTTCGAGTGTGGATTGGTGTGGTTTGCGAGCGGAGCCTGTGCTTCAGGAGAGTAGGACTGGGTGCTGTATCTTGCTGATGCTTCGGAACGAGTTGCCACAGATGCCACATCGCTGGTCATCTTGGAAGCTTTTTGCAGTGTGTCGTCTAGGGATGAGGGCTGTGTAAATGTACGAGCTGCCATGGCGAGAAGTGTCAGTTAGGCGTAGAGAGGGGAAATCGAGGTAGCAATGCTGAGATACCGCAGAGCACTGCGATAAAAGTAGTGACAGTCTTGAAAACAGTAGGCCGGCATGGGTACTCGAGCGTCGACAAGAGTGTCCATGTACGTGGGGGGATGTGATGATGGTCTTATAAACTCAGGGCGGACGGAGAAACGGTAGCGCTAGCATGGATCCATATGACTGGGGAGCATGTGAAAGAGATAGGCTTTGCAATACAGGGTAAGAGGATGCAAGGAGCCGCCCGCTGACGCGGTACGTGACCGGTTGACGTGCAGACGAAACAGGTGAATGACCCAGCACTTACCTGGCAGCCTCCGAAAAGGCCTGGGCGGGATGCAGAAAGGCTATCTGCGTTTTTTCCGGATGTGGTTGAATCGCTTCGAAGTGGTGCCTTCAACTTGATGCTCTGGTGCAACGGCGACCTGGTAGCCTGGCCGCGGTATTGGGGGGATCCCAAGATGCAGGAGACGAGGGTTAAAAGACCGGATAACTACTGCCGCGGCCGAGACGGGACAAATGAAGAGAGGCAGAGGGAGATTCGGTCGTGAGGATACGGCAAGCGCGTAAGGCTGTTCCCCCGAGGTGCGCTAGTGGGCCTGTATGGAATCAGCTCGCAGAGCCACGGACGAGTGGAAGTCTCGGCGGGACAATGTGTGCGCTTAACAAATCACGCCCAACCACAACCGCAACAGCTCAGACAGTGCCGCGTAGATGTGATCCCGGCCTTGCAACGGAATGTACGAGGGATTTGTTTTTCCCCGAGGGCGGTGCTGCAAAGACGATGGGGGGAAGGTGGAGAGGGGAAAGCAGCCTGGCGGCGTTGGAGTCGTCTATGGCGCGAGGCTGCAAGATGGCATGACTAGGCGCGTGTCTTCTGTCATGCTCCCGGCTGTTGTGCGTGGCTGATGTGTGCCAATCTGGGGAGAAGCGGGGGGGTTGGATTGAGTCGTGGTAGCGGTAGCGGTAGCGGTAGTGGGAGTGGGAGTGGGGTGGCGGGTGACGTAGGGCGCGGCGGGCATAGGGAAGACGGAACGGAACATCGGCCTGGGCACCTCCAAACGTCTGCCCGCCCTTGGTCACGCGTCTCCATGCTCTCAGCACTCGAGGCCCATGACGGATCTGCTGCAGGTGCTGCCTGACTTTGACGCCAGACCCTTTTCCCATCTGCTGCCCTCGCTCGACAAGGCCCTCATCACCACCAATGATGTCGTCACCCTCGACGCCGCCCACGTTGCCAGACGCGCCCAGCTGCCTGCGGGCGAGCTGAGGAAGCTTGCAGATGCCCTTGTGCCCGCCCTGCACCGCCAGCTTGGGTTCCGCGCCGCCGACGCCCCTGCAAACTTCTTCGCCGACAGCGACGGCTGGACCTGTATAAGCACCTTGGACGACGCGCTCGATGCTGCGCTGCGTGGGGGCATCCCGCGTGGCTATCTGGTAGAGGTTACTGGCGAAAGGTATTGCCCCCATACACCAACTCCTCACATGCGCGCATGTGGCTTGGCCTCACCACTAACTCCTCGCAGTGGTGCCGGGAAAACACAGCTTCTCCTGACTCTTCTCCTGGCCTCACAGCTGCCGCCGCCGCGCGGCTTCGCAAAGTCGGCAGTCTACATCTCCACCGAGGCAGTCCTGTCTACAACCCGCCTCGCCCAGCTGCTTTCCTCCCACCCGGCCCTGGCGTCCCTCCCAGCCTCGGAAAAGCCCTCGCTGTCTCGCATCCTGAGCATAAAAACCCCGGATCTTGAGTCGCAGGAGCATATTCTGCGCTACCAGCTACCTGTGGCCATCAAGAAGCACGGCGTAGGCCTTGTAGTCGTCGACTCGGTCGCCGCAAACTACCGCGCCGAATTCGACAAGCAGGGCACTGGAAATGGCACGGCTGCGCCCATGGCCCGCCGTGGCACACAGCTCGTGCAGCTCGGCGCCTTGCTTAGGGAGCTTGCGCGCACAGAAGGCATTGCCATAGTCGTTGCGAACCAGGTTGCCGATCGCTTCACCAAGCCGCCATCCGCTGCCTATTCTTCTTCTGCGTCCACTTCCAACGCAGCTTCACGCACAACATCAGCAAATACCGACGGTACCAGCCAAACAAACGACGCTGTACCCGCGCCTCCCTCACAGCTCGACCAGAGCATCCTACTCTCGCCCGACCCCCTGGCCCTCGACCACCAACAAGGCTGGTTCACAGGCTGGGGCGACTCGCCATACGAGCAGCTCCACGTTCAAAAGACTCCTTCGCTGGGCCTTGTCTGGACAAACCAAGTCGCCTGCCGCATTGCCCTGAAGAAGCAGCCCGTCTTTGCCAGCAGACCTCTGATCCACACCGTCAATGGCCAAGAGCAGTGGAACGACGACGAAATTCACATTTCAAAGTGGCGCCGCTGGTTCAAGCTAGTTTTTGCCCCCTGGGCCCCGCCATGTCCAGGCCGCGGCATCGAGTTTGAGATTCAAAAGAGTGGCATCAGGCATCTTGTCAAGGCAAAGGGCTAGCAAAAGTGACATGGCACGACATGTCGAATCACAATCATGCTTTTTCTTTTTTTCTTCTTCACATGTACATACATGACAAAACCCCCTGCCTTGAAACATACAATAGCATCATAATGTCGAATGACGGTAATGACATTGCATTCTGGTTCACCTCACGTCAACTCGATCACAATTCCTGACCTTTTTTTCAATAATGGGAAAAAAGTATGTCTAGTACCTCTATCAAACGAACCAGAAAGAAAGACAGATATTAATGCCTCTACATGGCCCTACCCATCCCTACATAAAGCACCCTTTTGATGCTAGCTGTCCCCAAACACCACCCCTCCATGTCATGCGTCGGTCCGGTGTAGATATCTAGCTCCCCCGTTGTGTTTCTCTGGCTATTTTTGCCAGTAACCACAATTGCAGGAACAAGACACCAGCTAATAAGATGATACGAAAGAGAACCAAAGAAACAGAACAAAGAGGAAACCCCCAGGTCCAGTTGCTCACAAAAGAAAACACGTTGTAGTAGTGTGGTTGTTGTTGTACAGGTTGCTTAACCGTTGCTCCCTCATCACCCATCCACCTATCCATCCACGAGTTCTGTCCTGCCCTATATCCGTTCTGGCCAAGGAGAAAAAAGAGGCCAAACTTAAACCGACGTTTAGTCGGTGATCCTCCAGCTCTCGAGCCACTTGAGGTGCTTCCATTGGCTGCTGGGTCCAACCATTCCAAACGAAATGGCGCGGAATAGCCAGTACAGAACAATCACAGCCAGGTACAGCACTCCAAAGATGCCCCACTGAATCTGCTTGTTCAGCTTCCTCGTCACGAAGTCCAGGCAGAAGCCCATAACGAGAATGGCAAACCACAGCGCAGGGTAGTAGTGGTGCACATACGTCACACGGCCCATGGCGACAAAAGGCACGTAGTGCAAGAACCATCCAATAACCGGGTACAGACCGGCATAGTGGATCTGGTCAATCTCAGACTGCTTGAGGTCGTCATATCCACGTTGCCAGCGCACCAGATAGAATAGCACAATGAGTCCAAAGATGCCTAGAGATGCTGTACTGCCCCAGTAGACCAAGGGGTTGCCAAGCAAGAAGTATTTGACAACTATTTACACAGTTAGTGAGCTGCTCAAACAAGGCTATAGTTGCATACTTACTGTCATCATTCCAGCCGCACATGCGGAGACCCACATGGAGAATGGGCCATTGCCAGAAGCTAGAGGCGAGATCGTCTTGCTTGTCAGGGTCGGGAACGAGCGCGTTGTTAGACGTCATCATGGCAACGTTGAGATGGATAAAGTCCTGGAGAAAAGGTGACTTGTAGTCGCCAGGATTGCCGGGCGGCAGCCTCTCGTTGGTGTGACTCTCAATGTTCCAGTGTGTGTATACGTCGCTGGGGTTGTTCGCCTTGACGCAAGTCGTCTCGATTTGCTTGAAACCCCACTGAGGCAAATTGACGTTGCCAGCCCGCAGATAACATCCCAAATCTTTGTGCCTGAGACGGAAAGCCGTCGTGAGCGTGCGGATCCTCGAATAGTCCCTCGAAGCGGCATCACGAACAACTTCAATAACCCAATGATCCTTGGTGTCTCCCACAGTCACATTACCGTAGCAAGAAACTTCCCAGTCACTCTTGGTCACAGGAGCTGCGACCTGGTGAGAGTGAAGGTTACGACCTGTCTGGGCGTGTAACAGACGAATGACGTCGCCGTTGCCGGGGAATCGAAGCTCCTCATCTGGCTGGTAGGGAGCTTCGTGGCGGTTGGGATAGAAGAACCAGTCGTTGTTGGAGTCCTTGTGGTGGTAGCAAGTGACCTGTTGCTGTGCAGAGCCCTCGGGGTAGGTCTGAACATGGGAGTGGAGCAGCCCACCTCCGTATCCCATGTTCTTCAATGTTGCACGAGAGCCGTACGCAACCTCCAAGGGGCTGTCCTTGCCGACCTGGGTTCCCCTCAAGTTGGCCTGGAATAGAGAGCTCATCTGGGCGTCACCGGGTCCGCTATTCTCAAGGATGAGAAAGTGCAGGTAGAAAGAGAACATGTAAACAGCGAGCGGAATGAGAATAAGACTGAAAACTCGGAAAGCAAGGTGCATGGCGAGCTCGGCCTGGTTTTGGTTAGTTTGAGTCTACAATGAAAGCTCCATAGTGCCTACCTTGGGCATCTTCAGGTCACCAAACTTATTCCAGAGATCCTCAGCCGTGTACAGTCCAACCAGGGCTGTGACAAAGAAACCAACCCACTTGACGCTGCAAACGCATCCGATGGAGACACCAGTCAGCATCAACCACAAACCCCATTCGGGAGAGAAAGGGTCGTGGCGTTGGCGGTGGAATTTGGACCAGCAGAAGACGGTTGTGAAGGTGAAGCAGAGCAGCATGGAGTCGAGAAGAATGAAGCGGCTAATCGTGGTGTACGAGTTCTCGCAAAGGACAGCCAGCGTGACGAACCATACGGTCGGGCGGCGGAAGTTTAGTTCCTTTGCGGTAAAGTATGCCAGGGGAACGCAGACAGCGCCAAAAGCCGAGTTGAAGAGGCGCATAAACGTGTAGTTGAGCTCTGGGGGGTACGTCTCTCCCGACTTGAACTCAAACGACCCATTGTATCCGGCGAGGTATCCAGAGAGACCGACGAGCATTTTGCCGAGCGGGGGGTGGACATCGAAATAGAACTCGCGCTTGAGGTAGTGTGAACCGAACTTGCCAAAACTGCTTGTAGTTAGAAGCCGGCCGGCATACAGAGCAGCCAATGTGCTTACTGGGCTTCATCCCACGTCACAATGGGTGAGAGGCCAATCTTGTACATGCGGGTAAAGAAGGCGAAGAAGGTGAAGATCAGAGGCGCCCAGATGAACTCGTATTCGTCAATCAAGGAGAGGACACTGAAGGGCTGTCGTCTGGTTAGCAAGCGGTTCCTGCAGCCCCTAGGAGTAGTATGGCATACCTTGTCTTTGGACTTTTCCTTCTCGGGTGCCCGCGCTCCTGCTGGGGCCGTGGCATCGTTGCGCGTTGCTACATTTCTCCGGCGCAGCTCATCTGCGTGTGCATCAATACCCGTTGTGTGGGCCGTTGACGCCATTGCGGTGGTGGTGGCTGATCGATCTCTAGGCGATTAAAGATGTCGTCGCAGAGCCGTTCAGGATAGGAAGAAGGGATTCGTGGCTTCAAGGCGGGTTTGGTGGTAAATGTCTAAGCAGTACCACGGGGCTTGCGCAACCGCTCGGTGCAGCCGTGAGCAGGCGGGCAAAGTGGCGTCGAGAAAAGGTAATGAATTAAAAGAGGCCGTTGGCCATACAAGAAAAGGCGAACTAGAGTGAGAGGGAGGGCATAGAAGGCTGAAAGAAGAAAAGACGGATGGGGCAGGACTCCCTGTGCTGCGGAATCGAGGAGGTGGGCTGTCCCGAATTAGATCTGGGTACGAGCAAAGGAAGCTAGAGCCGGGCGCCGCGCGCGCTGTGCAAGGGGAGAGGCGACACCTGTTCACTTAGCCCATCACGTGAGATACACACAGGGTCACTTCCAGACTTCTGGCCCACAGCGGCCGTTGAGAGTGAGAGGTTGCGCAATGCCGCTTTCGAGGGTGGATGAATGGTCGTAGTCATGGTCGTGGTGATGGTCATGGCCATGTCGATTCGCCAAGGGGGGCTGGTCGGTCATCTCTGACATGTACCAGGCCCGCATGCGAAGAAGCGCCGTTTTCTCTAGTGTGCCCCCCAGGCCGTCGCCTTAACTCATGCTCATATTTTGTACAATACTTTTTCTTTAATATAACAAGCCCAGCAGCGAGAGAAAATATTCCAAGCTTCCTGAAAATTTAACGTTCCTCCATTTAGGCATAGAAGCCTTAGGCCATAAAGAAAGATGACATTAGGGAGGAACTTCTAAACAACATCTTGATAGTCACACTTTCTGCCCTCCAAAAAAAAAACACGCACGAGAGCCAAAAAGAAGAGGAAGAAGTGAAGGAGTGGGAAGAAGAAGAAGTAAAAGAAGAAGAAGAAGAAGAAGAAGAAGAAGAAGAAGAAGAAGAAGAAGAAAACGCCCTGGTAATGCTCTACGCACTCTATCAACCCAAAACACTCGCTCGTCGAGCCGTTTGCTCGTAATATGGTAACATTTCCGTAGTCTGAAGTCGGTGCAAAATGCAGATATGCGTGGGAAATGCGAATGCGTGTACATTGGCAATGCCGCCATGGACGTTTAGTCCTCGTCCTGTCCAATCTGCTTGTACTTTCCGCCGCTTGAGCTGTCGCCTTCACCGTTGCCTTTGGTTCTCTTGACCATGTTGCTGATCCAGCCGCCGATACCGTCGCCGTTTTCCGTGTTGGCCTTGGTCATATCCTTGTTGCCGCTTTCGATATCAGGAGGGTCGATGCTGAGTCCGGGAATGGCATCGTCTGCGGGGCGGCGTGCACCTCGAATGTCGAGAGATGGCACGGGGGAGCCACGGCCTTCGCCGCTAAACAGCGACTCGGCTTGCGCAAGCGTCTCTGGGGTAGGCATGACGGAGGTGGCGTCTCCAAATAGCGAGTTCATGTCTTCCAGACGGACATTGGCAGTTTCAGGATAGATGAAGTATACTGTAACCATGTCAGTGTGCGTGTCTCATGTCCATGCTGAACGCTAGACTTACCGATAACAAAACTGACAGCACAGAAGAAGGCGTGAATGAGGTATAGACGCCACTGGATGTGCTCCTGCAGTATGGGTGTCATTTCTCCCACCAGCCAGTTAAAGGCCCAGTTGGTCGCGGTACTCAAACTAGCACCCTTGGCACGAATGCTGAGGGGCAAAATCTCGGGCGGGTACAACCACGGGATAGGGCCCCATGAGTATCCAAAAGCGGCATTATAGATCATGACAAATATCACAACCATGTTGGGTGTCCACGAAGCTTGCAGGAAGATGAAGTAGGAGATGAGAGACAGGGAGACGAGCATCATAAGGGCGCCAGACAAGAGGATCTTTCGACGGCCCAGCGAGTCGACAATGTACCACGGGGGAATGGTAGACAGCAGGTATGTGATGGCGTTGATGCCAGTCATGAGAATGGCCTGGCGACCATACCAGCCGGCTTCCTCAAAGACAAGGGGTGCATAGTACGAGATGACGTTGATGCCGTTGAGTTGCGCAAGGGCTTGGGCGGACATGGCAATGAAGACGCGTTTGGAGTATCGCCTGAACATGTCCGGGTACGAGCGTTCACCTTCTTGGCGCTGGAGCAGGACGTTCATCTTGATCTCTCGGTATTCATCTCGTGCTTTAGGGTTGTGGATGTCGCCCTTTCCGTACAAATTGGCAATCACCACAATGCCCTCTTCGTCATGGTCGTTGTCCAAGAGCCATCTGTACTCGTTAGCCGATGGTCCCAAGCTCCGTTGATAGGACAAACCTTGGGGACTCGCAGATGAGCAAGCTGCCTCCGGCGAGGAGAAGACCCATGATGCACTGCATGAAGAGGGGCACTCTCCACGACCAGTCGCTCTTGATGTAGGTGCAAAAGTAGTCGACCCAAACACTGACGGCATAGCCGGCAATGTTGCCCGTGAATTCGATGCAGCCCATCTTTCCTCGGTTGTGGGGCGGCGAGATTTCCGACTGGTAGACGGGGACGATGGTGGACAGGGAGCCAACGCCGAGACCAGCAATGACTCTGCCCAGGAGCATCATGGGGATTCCGTTTGCAAACGTCTGGAGAGCCCCGCCAACGACAAAGATGAGGGAGCCGTACAGAATCGTCTTCCGTCTACCGAGGACATCGCCAATGCGGCCCACTACGAGCGAGGAGATGAAGGCGCCGACCTCGAGAATGGCCACCATGGTGCCCAGCTCGGCCGCGGTAGGCTGGTTGAAGTAGTCCTTGAAGTACATGCCCCTGTGAATACAATCAGATATGCTCGAGGGCGGATGGGGTCTCGGGGGGGGGGACGGCGCACGTTATGATTCCGGACATGACTCCCTGGTCGTAGCCAAACAGGAACACACCCAGCGAGACGAAGACGCTGGTGAAGTAGCTGGCCAGGTAGGTTAGCGATTCGCGTGGCAGGCAACGTGCTGGCGGGCTCACATCAGCTTCTTGCCATGCAGGCCGTGCATACGGGAGGGCCCGTCGTTGGGAGCCATGATGGCGGCGAGGATCCTCTCAGCCTTTGAGATTGTGCGGGGGCCGGGGTCGGGGATTTCAATGTCGTCCTTGAAGATGGCGTGGGGGCCCTTTTCGTGGAGGTGCTGCGAGGCGAAGCGGGTGCGCTTTGGGTGCTGGCGAGGGGGGTTCGCGGCGGCGTGGGCCTGCTCGAGGCGGATACGCAGCGGGTCTTGGCGGCGGGCGAGCTGGTCGACGAGGTCGCCCGTGTCGCTCCAGATGGACAGGTCCGAGTCTGATTCGGGCGTGTCGAGCGAGGAGCGGGCGCTATGCTTGTCGTGGTCGTGGTCGTGGTCGTGGTCGTCGAGCAGATAAGCCTCGTCGTCGGCGGGTCTGTTGCGGGCGGTCGAGGCGAGGTTGTGGAGCGGGATGTTGGCAGGCCTCCGGCTGGCGCTCGAGTGTGGAGGAATGGTGAAGGCGGCGAGCTGTCAGGGAGCAGCCCGTCTCCAAGATCAGGATGGGGGGAGAAGGAGCACAAGAGCGAGAGGCGGCGGCGGCGGCGGCGGCGGCGGCAGGGGCAGCGGGCAGGCGCACGTCACAGGGTCAAGCAGGCGGGCCAGTGGATGTGCTTGGGGGGATCGGGGGGGCTAGGGTGAAAGCGGTGAGAGAGTCGGGCACATGTGGCAGGACACGAACGTCTTTTTTTCGGGGCACGATAGTGATAGCGCTGGGTGATGGGAGAATGGGTGCATGCGAACGGGCGTGCATCGAGGAAGCGTTGGGTGGAAATGGAAAGGTGCCTTGCCGGGGCTGCGGTGCCGGGCGGGGCTTGGCATGGGTGCGCGCAAGTGCAAGTGTGAGTGTGAGTGCAAGCCGGGCGGGGCGGGCGTGTGATTGGCGCGCCGAGGGGGGGCATGTTTTGTTTGTTGTTGCACGTCTTGCACGTCTTGCCCGTGTATGACTACGGCCGTGTCTATCAGTGTGGCCGCCGCTCGCACATGACGCCGCCGTGCAGCAGCTGGCCGGCTCACGTGGCTGGGCGGCGGCGGGTCAGTCGCCATGGGCGGCGGGCGGTGGGCGGTGGGCTGCTGCGACGGGGGCAGGTACTGGGGCTGGCGGGCGCTGGCACGGGGGCGGGCTGGCACTGGGGCGGGCGGGCGCGGGCGTGGGCGAGGCGGCCATGAGAGCCCCGCGCCGACACGCAATCACAATGCAGGCTGCCCCGGCTCGCGCGCAACTGGCGCCAGCCATTCGCTTGCCCTGCGAGTGAGTGCATTGCATTGCTGCTCATATACTTTTGACCGGCCGACGTCATTCCCGCCTGCGCCTTATGAAACACGTCCATATCGCCTGCCGCCGTCATTTAGTCGAGAGCATGCCCGCCAACCACGTCGCCCGCCTGAAATAGGCACACGGGTAAGTATCTATAGTAGTGGTAGTACTACACTCTACACTCTCTCCGACTACACTCTCGCCCTCGCCCTCGCCCTCGCCCACCTCTGCACACACCGGATGCGCTGCTTTTTGGCCGTTCCGACTCACACACCCAGATACACACACCCCCACCCCCTCCATGTCCCGGTTGCTTTTGGCCAGCGCTGCACCCCCGAGGCACCGCATCCAAGCGCATGCCATGCCTAGAAGCATCGCAGCGTGCCAGGTTTTGACAAGCGCACGGCCGGCTGCGATACGGCGCTCCCATATCGAAGCAGCATAGCGCCATGCTCGCACGCCCGCCCATTGGCTGCGCCCGAGATTACCGCCAGTCGCCCGAGATTACCGCCAGTCGCCCGCCCGCTTGCTTCTGCCTCTGCCTCTGCCTCTGCTTCTGACGAGCGCGCCTCGAGCTTCTTTCGCATTGCCCGTTTCAAGTCCCAGGCCACCACCACCACCACCACCGCCGCCGCCAACCACCGCCAACCACCACATCGCCGTCGCTCGCGCTGCCCAGCCCCCCAGCTCACCGTCCCTCTCCGCCGCCTGCAGCCAAACGGCGTCCCCTCGACGCCCTTGCCCTGCCCAACCCGCCTGCATATGTGCTCTCCACCCTGCTAACCAGCCCGACAAGCCTTGGCTTCGTGCATTGTTTCAACCAGACCTCTCCCAGCCACGCCCGCCCAAACGTTGCGGCGCATCGTCTCTCTGCCTCAACAACCACTCTCCGCGCCGCCGTGAACCCCCGCCGCCCACTGCTCGCTGCATTGCGCCCTACGACCTGGACGCTGCACACAGACAGGCTCCGCTCCCCTTCCCGCCCCGACGCGCCTGAGTGCAAGGCTGCGCCCTGCTCGCCCTGCAAACCACACCACAGCCATGGTCAATTCCTACGGCCAGTTTGCCGACTTTTGCAGAGATTCCGGCAACACTTGGAGCACGCTGCCAGGTACACCGCCCTCTTCCCATGCCCTTGCCCTGCTCATTGCTGACCTCTGCCAGTATGCTATGTACGTTCGTTGCTGACGTTCCGCCCCTGTGCTCTCGCCCTTGTTTATCCTCGCGCCGCTAACCGCTCTGCTCTCCCCCCCACAGCTCTTCAACCCAGCTTCCACCAGGAACAACAACGGATGGCCGAGGGGCTGCACCTTGCAAGGTTTTCCTGTTGGCGGAGGCCGCAACCTGCATAACCTGGGTACGCATTGCTGCCGCATCCCACGACCAACGTGTTGCTCACACCACCAGGCTCCATATTGCTAAGCGCCATCGCCATCCTCGTTACCCTCTTCTTGCTATGGAGGTCGCAGAGAAAAAAGGCTGCTGTCGGGAGGAGGTGCGTGCCCTGCAAACAAACAATGCAACTGCGCGCTGACCCTAAGCAGAGAAATGCAGCTTTTCCTCATCGGCTACATCATCGTCTCCATTTGCGAAATCTTCACCGTCGGCGGCTTGCCCCTCAACCGCAAAGTGCGCATTGTACGTGGTGCCCTTTTCCACGCGCGCACCAACATGATCTAATCTCTTTGGCGCAGGTTTTCGTGGCTATACACATTGCCGCCATCACTGCAACGTCTTGGATGCTCATGCTCAACGGCGCCGTCGGCTACCAACTCCTCGATGACGGTACCATAGTGTCAATTGGTCTGCTCTTGGGCTCGGCTGCCATCATATTCATCGGCACCGGCTATATCGCACTGGATACCGGCCTTGACTGGACCGGCTTCTGGAACTCGAGTCTCAACCCACCCAACCAGGCCTACGCTCTGTACACGCTGTACCAGCTTGTGCCGCTGTTCTTCATCATCGTCTTCTTTCTCCTCGAGGCATTCCTGGTTCTGCGCGTTCTCGGCGAACGCAAGCCTATGCGTAAGTACTCTTGTCAGCAGCACAGAACTACCATATACTAATATGCTTTGCCAGTATATCTCATGGCAGCAGCCCTCTTGTTCGCCATTGCGCAAATCTTCCAATACGTCATCAGCGTCCACATCTGCAATGGTACAGACGGCAAGATCAACGGGGGCCTGTTTGAAACGCTTTTTACCCTCCTGGCGGTAGTAATGGTGTGGGTCTTCTGGTCGAGCATTACCGAGGACGATTGGCCCATGCCAACGGTAGCCGGCTCCGGCACCTATAACTAGGAGGACTTGCGTATATATAGGTGTGTGTGTGTGTGTGGAGACTATGCTTGCAAAAGCAATGGCGTAATGTGTTTTTTATGATGGCGGTCTTTTTTTCAGGCATAGCGTATACCATTTTGGGGCTCTCTGGACGCATTCGATGTGTCATGCCGCCTTCTGCTACGATATATATAATGTTTGCTCAATGGAATCTATCAATACATACTGCACCCTATTCGCCACGTGCAAAAACGTGAGCGCGCGTTTGGGCCTATCACGTGTGCGACACGCTCCCGCCGCCCAGAAGTGGATCTTTGATCGTCAACCATGAACCCACCAAAGCTCCAGATGCTTGGAACCTGACAGCCAGGTGAAACCATAGTTTTCGGACAAAAACAAAAGCCCCGGCTCGCATCCTTGCCCGCGCATATTTCGAGAATCTCTATCGAATGCCCATCGCCTTCGAACATCCTCATCTCTCCGCGACCCTAGATGATACCCGACGTCTCGCTACAAAGCGCCACAAGCACTGCGCCCAAGCTCGTCAAGCTGAACACCAATCATGGCTGATTCCGACTACGATTTCGAGGACGACGTGTCCGACGACGACTATGTTGGCGCCAAAGGCAGCACGTCCAACACGCGCGCACAGTCTACGGCAGCTAGCAAGAGGCGAAAGGTTGAGGTGCCTGAGAAGGAGGCACCACAGCGAAAGGCATGGGAGACGGAATACTCGCGAACCGTGGAGAAGACGATACAGCCGGCAGAAGACAGCAATCTGGGACAGAGCGTACAAGAGCGCGAAGAGGAACGCAAGCGCAAGCGATTACGCAAAGATACAAAGCCCTTTCAGCGAGGCATAATAAGACATGTTGTACTGGTGCTTGATCTCTCAGAAGCAATGCTCGAGAAAGACATGCGGCCGAACCGCTTCATCACCATGGTCAACTACACACAAGATTACATTCGCGAGTTCTTTGAGCAGAACCCAATCTCCCAAATGAGCGTCCTCGGCATGCACGACGGCGTGTGCATACGAATCTCGGAGCTTTCGGGCAACCCGGCAGAGCACGTCGCTGCAGTACAGGGTCTGAGGAGTAAGGATGATGGCAAGGAGCCCAAGGGCTCGCCGAGTCTGCAGAACGCACTCGAGTTGGCGAGGGCGACACTATACCACACGCCCAGCCACGGTACGCGAGAGGTCATTGTTGTCTTTGGCAGCCTGTTGAGTCTGGACCCTGGCGACATCCACCAGTCGGTCAAGGCATGTGTGAGGGACCGGGTACGCGTCAGTATAATAGGCATGGGCGCACGCCTCAAGATATGCACCGAGATTGTCAAGCGGACCAATGCAGGCGACGAGTCCGAATACACCATCGCTACAGACCAAGAGATGCTTAAGGAGCTGCTTCTAGCCACCACGACGCCGCCTGTCATCCGACAGCCTCTGCCTGCAACCACGGCTGCATCCACACCATCAGCGCAATCCTCGGAATCAGCAGCGGCACTGATGATGATGGGCTTCCCCTCGCGTGTAGTCGAAGACCAGTTGACCATGTGCGCGTGTCACGGCAACTTGACAATGGGCGGGTATACGTGCTCTCGATGCAGTGCAAAAGTGTGCTCCCTGCCCATCACCTGCCCCTCGTGCCAACTGACGCTTCTCCTCTCTACGCACCTGGCACGCTCCTATCATCATCTCTTTCCTCTCCGCAACTGGGCCACCGTCTCCTGGTCGCGCGCCCGTGAGGTGGGCAGCAGGCAGTGCGTTGGCTGCTTAGCCGACTTTGCTGCCCCGCCGAGCATCAGCAAAGAGAAGGGTGAGGCTGCACAAGGGGGTGAAACCAACGGCGCAAAGAGGAATGACGACGACAGCGAAGAGCAAAAGGCGAGTGAAAGTGGCCGATATGAATGCCGGGCTTGCGAGAGCCATTTTTGCATTGATTGCGACATGTTTGCGCACATGGTGCTGCACAATTGCCCGGGATGTCTGGGAAGACTGGATGCCGAGGCGGCGGCCACGAGCAATGGTGATGTGGAGATGAGTGGCTGAAGTATACCACGTCCCGGGCTTACTGCGGACGCAGAGGATGGACAGTGAGCAATTGGCTACAGAGATGATAGACTGTAAGAAATACCCACGCGCTCGAGGCGCAAAGTTTAGATTTGATCCTAGCCATGCTCTGTTTTGGTCGTCTGTTCTCGTTGGCATTCTCCAGTGTTGATGTAGTTCAACAGTATGGTGGGGAGGTGCTGCATGGCATTGGGGGAAAAAGGTTCATCCCCTTCTCAAGCCAAAGTATTGACGCGCGGTCCCGTGAGCACGACTATCAAACGACGCGGGACGCGCCAAAGCCAAATGCCGAAGGTCGACCCCGCGTACGTGGGGCAACTGGTCCCTCGGAGCGGATACTAGCCAACGCGCCATTATGCGGCGATGATTGTTCATAAGCACGCTGGGGCCCGGGCTAGGTGCACTCTCTGATGTTCACCTTGCCCTCGAGAGTTCTTGTTGAGTGCGCCCGCATTGCTTCCAAGCCAGTGCTCACATCTCGCGTTACAGCTGCTCCTTGGCTTAGAGGCTCATACCCAAGGCCGGTCCAGTCTTACTTTGGTACAGGGAGAAGAAGCATGGCGGCATTCAAACGATTGATTCGGTTCGAGGATGCCGAGGGCAAGACGGTGTATGGGGATTTGGAAAAGGAGGTGCCTACGAGGGAAATCGAAGGCAGTACTGTCGAGGTACTGGAGGGCGATGTGAAGAGTGGCTTCAACAAGGCCGGCAGCAAGGCCAAGGTTGCCAAAGTATGTCAATGGAATGGCAACGCATGGGGAGAGGAGCAGACAACTAATGGAGCCGTGTAGCTGCTGAGCCCGTTACCCACTACCAACATTGTCCTCTGCGTTGGACTCAACTACCGCAAGCACGCCGAAGAATGCAACGTACGCAGTCTCTTGTCCATGGGCCCATTATCTCCCTCTGTCTAACCATGGTCATGTTGTAGTTTCCAATTCCACAGAATCCAGCCATCTTCATGAAGCCCAGCGACGCACTGGCAGGACCGCTAGACGATATTCCCATCCATGCGTCGTGCCAGTCGCAACTCGACTACGAAGGCGAACTCACCATTGTCGTGGGCCGCGACTGCAAAAACGTGGCTGCGGCCGACTATGCCTCGTACGTTCTCGGGTACACGGTGGGCAACGATGTGTCTGCGCGAAACCACCAAATTCCCGCCGGCGTATCCGGAGGGCAGTTCGGGTACGCAAAGTCATTTGACAAGTTCTGTCCCATTGGGCCTTGCATTGCTAGCACCGAAATCATTCCCGATCCGCAGAAGCTGCGGTACTGGACCAAGGTCAACGGGGAGAAGAGACAGGAGACGGGGACGGACGATATGATTTTCAACGTGGGGCAGATTATCGAGCATTTGAGCCGCGGGACAACGTTGCGGGCGGGCACGGTGATTCTGACGGGAACGCCGAGTGGAGTGGGGCTTTTCATGGAGCCCAAAGGGTTTTTGAAGGATGGCGATGAGGTGGAGATTTACGTCGAGGGGATTGGGAGTCTGGTGAACCGGATGAAGTTTGAGTAGTTTACCCACATACATGCACGCATAGACACATTAGGTAAGACCTGACATAGCGAGCAGCAAATCGAGGACAAAACTTGTCCGTTTACTGGGCTTACTTTGGCGAGAACAAAAGGAGAAAGAGGATTACTCGTCGTGAGTACATGTTGGAGTCCATGAGTCCAGCTACGCCACGTGGGCTGCGGATAAGACAGGCGTGACGCACTTGAGTAACTTAAGTGGAACCAGAGTCTAGACTGGGAAGCTGTGTATGCTGAGGGTGATGATGATGATGATGATGATGCTCCACGTGATGGGGGGGGGGTAATGTAGTATGTTGGTGCAAGGCTCGAGGCGTTTCCTTTTGCATCTGATAGTCTTGTGACGGAGTATGATACATGGGCATGTTTTACAGATGCATAGGCCAGGAACAGAAAACGGACACTGCAGACGAGAGGCGGCCTAGCAGGGGAATGTTTTAGATGCAAGTTCTGGCGGGGGTGGATGGATGGACTTGATACTTTTCAGCCACGCTTGACTACGTATGCATCATGTGGTGGGCGGTGGTGAAGCTTGGGGATGGCTCGCCGCGGAGCGTGATTGGACATGGCGGTGGTGTATAGAGACGGGGCGACATGGGAGTGGAGAGACGATGGAGTTGAGCAGAGTTGTTGAGAACATGGATGGGGGAGCGAGAAGGGAAGCTCATATCTCGGGACGTGATGATGGGCGTGTAGTGCATGACCAGGGCTTGGCCGAAAGGGGCAAGGCGTGGCGGCTGATAGGCTGGGAATGTGGGGGGGGGGGCAGCGTGTCACATGCCACACCTTTGTTTCTGGCAAGAGCCATGTGAATGCGTGTTGGAGGTGTCGGCTGAGCTGCGAGGCGTGTCATCTGTACGCTGGGCTGGATGCATGGGAGAGGCAGAGGGAGGCCGTGTATACTATTGCTACTACTACCAACGTTGCCATTCCTCGTCCTGCTACCATTCAGAATTACTACTACTACTACTCTACTACTACTACTACTACTCTACTACTACTACTACTACTCTACTACTACTACTACTACTCTACTACTACTACTACTACTACTCTACTACTACTACTACTACTACTACTACTACTACTACTACTACTACTACTACTACTCTATTACTACTACTACTACTACTCTATTACTACTATAATGAACATGACTACTATGCCCAGGCAGCAAAGGACTCGGATCGCAGACTTGGCATTTTTTTCTCTCTCTCCAGGCACGCCCACCCCGTAATGCTGGGCAGAAACAACAGTTGCTGGACAGGACTTGGTCTTCTTCTTCTTCTTCTTCTTCTTCTTATTATCATCATGCCAGGCTGGGCGGGCGTGCGGGTAGGGCCTAGGGCTAGTGCCAGTAGTGCCAGTAGTGCGCGTAGTGCGAGTGGGGAAGCTGCCATGGGGGCCAGGGCGGCGCTGATTGGGCGGCGGGGGGGGGGGGGGCTGGCCAGGTTTCGGTTCGCTTCTTAGTGACCCCTTCCCTTCTCCATAGATAGCGCCGCCGCCCTCCCCCGTGACCATCTTCCTCGTGCACTCGCCGCCTACCTTGGACTCGTGATCCCAAGGTTGCTTGTTCCGTCGACGTCCATCCTCAGCACGCCCGCCTGAAAATATACAAGGTAAGACGCGTCCCTGCCCTGCTCTGCCCTGCTCTGCTCTGCGCTGCCCTGCGCTGCTCTGCTCCCCCCCGCCCTCGTCGTCCAGCGCGCCCTGCTGTTGCTTCCTGTCCACTCGCTGCTGCCGCCCGCCAAAAGTCCGAGGGGCCCGTCTTCCATCTCACGAGGGGATCACGTTACCTCGCGCAGTCTACCGTCGCTGCGAGAGACGCACCTGGTGAGTTGGACCGCCCCATGGTCGCTTTCCTCGACTCGTAGCCACCCACCGCGCATCCGCCGCCGCCCTCTCGCCGCCACCGCCGCCGCCGCCGCCGCCGCTGCTGCACTCGCCATCGCCATCGCCGTCGCCATCGCCCGCCCGCCCGCCGTGTCGTGTTGGTGAGCGCCTCTCTCCCCTTCGCTCGCCCGCCCTCCGCATCCCGCCACCAGCCCAGATGGAGACGCGCATCCACGGCGGCAACCATGCACGACGCACGACGCCCTTTGTGCTCCTCCCCATTGCACCATGAGACGGCCCTCTTTTGAGCAGTGACAGCTCCGTCTCACACTAACGCCAACCGCCATGCACCCAATCGCCTGCGCCCGCCCACCTGGTCGCACTGCTTTCCACCTCCTCACCTGCCTGCGCCCGTGCTAATGTTTGTCGAACCCAGACTTCTGTATGCCGCTGCCAAGTGCATGATTGCTACGCCCGCTGCTGCTTAGCCCTACCCGTGAACTGGTGGGCAAAGCGCCTGCCACTCTGTTCCCCGCCTCGGTGCTCTGCGCCCGCGCCCGCGCCTCACGCTTGGAGCGCGTCTGTCCTGCTTCGCTCTCCGCCCACCCACCCTCATATCCGTTCCCCTCCCCTCCCCTCCCCCCGCCCTCGTCACTCGCCCGCCACGCCAGCTCCCTCGTCGCCGCACACAGCGCCGCATCGCCGTCTCTCGTCGCGTCTGCCTGCTGTTGGCGCATCTCGCTCCGACCCCGACAACCCGGCCACCCACGCGCCGCAATCCTGCCTTGACCTCACCATCCTTTGATACCCCAGCCACCTCCCTCATCCCCAACCTTCCTGTCAGAACAAAAAAAAAATGGCTGATACTGCCGGTTATCCTACCGACAGCAAGCTGGATCCCCACAACAGCGTCCACACCAACAAGCGAAAGCGCGACACGCGCGACCAAGGCATCAACCGGCCCGCACCCCACAACTCAAACAGCGACCTAACGGATCAAGCCACGGCTTCGTTTCTGGCCGCGCACAACGCTGCCGACGACGACATGCAGCAGCAATTCGATGTGCACCACAACAATGGCACCAACACGGCGAGTGTTGGCGACACTGCTGCCGCTGCCCTTGCCTACCACCAAATGACGGTGCCGCAAGCGACGGAGCTCCAGTTCCAGCCGCAAAACTCGGCCGACGGTTCCTTCAGCATGGGCGACCACAACCAACAACAAACGGGCATGCAGGATTTCAGCCTCGAGGCTCTCAAGGCCGCGACACAAACGGGCCGTCCAGGCCAAGCAGCACCCAGCGACTCGCCACCACAAAGCGCCACCCACAAGCCCCAGGTTGGCACAGAAGAGTGGCACAAGGTGCGGAGGGACAACCACAAGGAGGGTAAGTTGCGCACGTCTTCGCGCCCCCCAAATCACCGTGACTGACGTGACTACAGTCGAACGCCGCCGCCGCGAAACAATCAACGAGGGTATCAACGAACTCGCCAAAATCGTGCCGGGCTGCGAAAAGAACAAGGGCTCAATCCTCCAGCGCGCCGTCCAATTCATCACGCAGCTCAAAGAGAACGAGCAGCAAAATATCGAAAAGTGGACGCTTGAGAAACTTCTGACGGAGCAAGCCATCACGGAGCTCAGCGCCAGCTGTGACAAGTTCAAGGCGGAATGCCAGCGCGCATGGGACGAGTGCCAAATCTACAAGCGCGCATGCGAAAACAATGGCATTCTGCCCGACGAAATCAAGGAGCGTCAAGAAAACGGCGAGCAAACTGGGGCGAACCCCTTGTAGAGTCTGGGCTTTGTTTGCTCGGCCAGCAGGCCGGGCCAGTTTTTTTGGACACGATGCTGACGAAGTTTTGCTGCTCTGCGGGATATACACTTGTGCTTCTTTTCCATGGGGGCGTCGGATCACCCTGCTTTCTTTCATCTGCACTCGTCGTGGTGATGGATGCTTACTTTCGGCTCGGCGTACGGGGCATGCAAGTATCGCTCGCTCGGCCACACGGGCTGTTGTTTTCCTTGTCTGCATCAGGCGGTCATTATCGCGGTGCGGGTCTAGGTCTTTGTGTCTATGTGCAGGATATGGCGGCTTTTTTCTCCTCTTAGGTTTTTCTTGTGTGTTTATTTCCCTTGACCTGGTTAGCGATATAATCTACAGCCAGACGAGCTATTATCGTATGACGCACACTTTTCCATGGCGCTCTTGATCGAGGCCTTTGCGCCGTCGTGGCCATGGTCGTGTCGGCCAGAAGCGTGAGTCGCGCTTAGCGGAAGCGCATCCCACCCCACCTGCATCCCACACCGACCGCGACTCACCTTCTCCAACCGTCATCACACGTTGCTTCATGCTCCCCTCACCACCTGGCCAGACAGCCATGCACCGCACGTAAAACCGCTCCCCCACATGTGGCGGGCACAGCACACGCACCATACGGCCTACCCACGCACAGCCCAAACACCTGTCGCAAACGACCATGGCGAACCACGACGTACCCAGCGAGCCACCAATTGTCCCGCCAGTCGTGGATGAAGCTGAACTGATTGGCAACACAAGCGCGGATTTCCCCGTCATCGAGGCCGAGCCCGAAGAAGAGCTTGATCTGCCCCTCGATACTGCGGAACAGCAGCGACTCCTGCTCCAACAGGACGAGGACCAACCCCAGGCTGGTCCTCCTCTGCCACTCCCTGCACGCCCCGGCCTACAGCGAGGCAATTCGGTTCCTACACCCGCGCCGCACCTTCCTCCCCCCGCGCCGCCTGGCCCGCCTCCAGACACTCCCCAGAACGACTCGCTTTCGCTGGCGCAGTTGCAGCATCTGGTCAGGGGCATACCCAAAGTCGAGCCCGCGCCGTATGCCTTCACCTATGACGATGCCTCGTCTTTCAAGGAAGAGCTGGAGGAGTGGTTCTCGTATGCGGTCGAGGAGCAGGCGATGCTGCTCAAGACACAGGCGTCGTATGCACTGGAATGGAGCGCATTCCACGGGCTGAGCGACGCAGCGAATGGCGAGGACGGCTTGGACTGGGCAGCAGCAGCATTCTCTCAACGCAAAGATTTTGTGCAGAAAATGCTGGGTGGGCTGAAAGAGAACGATTTCTTTTCACGGCTGAAGAAGCTCGAGGCATTGGTCTACGTGCTTCTTGGGTGCTGGTACGAGACAGCGGGCTTGACTGAAGCAGCGGCGGATAGCAGCGAGACAACATCGGGGCAGGAGCCGAGCGCGGGCCAGACGCGCAGCACAGCACATCAAAGGTCAGGGAGGCAGGCTGCGCTCATCAGGCGCAATGTGCACCTAGTCGCCGAGTGCAACGGTGTCCAGAGCCTTGTGGACATGCTCGATGCCTCGTTCAGGAAAGCATGCGGGGTGGACGCAGTAGCCGAAGTGCAGCGCGACTCAAAAGAAGCAGAGCGCCGCGAGATTTGGTGCGCAATGACCGCCGTCTACGTCATATTAGAGGTTGCGCGCGACGAGGACAAGTCTGGAAATGGCATCGGGCTCCGAAGTGCTATTCTCGATCTGAAAAAACCTGGTCTGCTAGTCGTATTGGTCGAGCTCATTGCAAAGCTGAGGTGGGATGAATCCATCAATCTGCCACTATGCAAGATATCTTTGCTACTATGGAAGACAATGCTGGTGACCTTTGGCGGTCTCGCAGAGGTCAACAAAGTCAAGGAAATGTTTCGAGACACGAATCTCGGGGCAGAAGATGATAAAGGGCAGCCGCTCATCACTGCCTCGCCGCTTGACTACCACCTCTTCCGACAAGAAATCAGCTCAAAGTACCCAGCGTATAACCCGCCACTTCCGCTCTTCCCCCTTGAGCCCGAAAATAACTCGATATTACCTCCGCTTAAGAATCACCCCAACAAGGTAGCTGGTAACCACGTCTTTGGCTCTGGGCTTGGGGATCCAAATGGCAACGTTACTTCTATTATGCATCAACCGGTTCATATCGCGACCCCTGCCCCATCGCCCCCTCCTTCGCCTGCAGGCCCGGGTGGCAAGGGCGGTAAAAAGCAAAACTACCAGACGAACCAGATGTTTCCTTTTCTGTACCCACCGCTTGACGAATCGAGCAACAAGTTGGGCGGTAAAGGCTCGACTGACTTGCAAGATCTCCTGGTTGGACGCAAATGGGAGGGCTCAGACATACCTACATCCATCATGGAAGCTGCAGAGCTCTTTGCGAAACGCATGAAGGCTACACGTGCGATGAAGCAGCTGTGGGAAGAACGTGTCGCTTTTATGAAATACGAGAGAGGCTGGACTGGCCCTGACGACCACCCTGATGTTGAAGAGCTATCACTTGAACCCAAGCAAAACGAGCCAAAGAAGGAATCCCTTGCTCGTGGGAGTTTTGAGGAGCGACTGCAGCTGGTAGAAGAATTCTACGTGAGTCTATCCAAGACTTTCCTCGTACTCTGGACTGACGTTTGTACAGCGTGTTGCATTACCGAACCTGCAGTCGCTGATCATCGTGCTGATAAAAGCAATTCTCGCACATGTAACAGCGCTAGTGACACAGTCAAGCGGTGCCAATGGCCTCCAGAGTGGGTTCCAGTTCCAGGACAGCCAGAACGGCACGACGGCCGAGCGACCTGATATGAACGGCCTCAATGGCCACGGTGCTGCGTTGGCCACAAATGAAGAGCTAGATGCTATGCGGACCCAGGAAGTGCTTGACAAAGCGGTCACTGGTACCCTGATTCTGATTCTGAAGTGGTTCAAGGTGTCTCATATTTTGAAGTTTGAGTACATTACTCAATTGCTTGTTGATTCAAGCTACGTTCCTCTCATCTTGAAGTTGCTGCAGCTCCAAGAAGTCGAGAAGATTGTCAACTTCAAGAGTGAGCAGGAAGAGCTCAACTTTTTCAACTTTTGTTGGTCGCATTCGAGAAATGCGTCGGAGGAAAACAGCAACGCACGGTACGAGGGAGACAAGCACGAGGAAGAATCCGACGAAGACGATGCGGCACCACCTCCGATCCGGCGGTCGAGGCTTGATTCAAACGAGTCGGGTGTTGAGCCAGCACTTTCATCGACTCAGTTGCAGCCTCCGGAGGTAGACGAGCTCGGCTTCCCGACCAACGAATTGCCAAAAGAGCCAATCACCAATTTCTCGTGGCGTGCATTCTTCACGTCGATCAACTACCTGCGCATCATGCAAAAGATATGCAAGGACAAAGCACATCGCAACCTGATGCTTGTGTCATACAAGTCGTCGCAGTTTCTCCGGAAGAGTCTCAAGGTACCGCAACCAGAGTTGCGCCTGTATACACTCAAGCTCTTCAAGAACCAAGTTCCGTACTGCGGTCGTAAGTGGCGACAGTCCAATATGCGTGTCATCACGGCTGTGTACCTGCACTGCAGGCCAGAACTCCGAGATGACTGGTTAGCGGGAAGCGACGTGGACGCTGAGGTGGATGAAAGCGTGCCTCTGGAGCAGGCGTTGCGATCGCTGACACACTGGCACAACCTCAAGCGGTACCCCGAGAGTTTGGGCGCCAAGCCTGGCGTCCTTGAAGAAGAGCAGGACTTTTTCCGCAACGAGCTCGAAAAGATGGATTGGGGCGACGAGGGCCTTAATGAAGGCGAGATGGAACAAAATTGGCCGGAGCTTCAGGTTGAGGGTTGGTGAGCATCTTGCACGCCGTATCCCCTCTTTTGCCGTAGCAATGGCTTGCAGATTCCTATCGTCTGATATCCAGGTAGGATGTTGCGTTGATGCTTCACGTAGGTGATGCCGACCGAGAGCAGGCGCTCAGGCGCCCCAAACATCAGCTGCATGGCTGCCGACCAGGCGTTGGTGAGCAGAAGCAGGCAAAAGGGATAGTTGGGCGCCCGGCTCCGAGACGAATGGCAGGAACTTGGCCTGGTGCACGCACAGCAAAGACTGGCCATGGACGGAATATCCATGTGGAGCTCGAGGCGCTCATCAATGCGTCGGCGGAGCAAGACAGCGACGGGGACGATGGTGGCGAAGCAGATGGAGCTGGAGCAAGAAACAGCAGTGGGAGCGAAGGCGAGCTCTCTCTACTCGCTGCACCCCGACACAAGAAGGGGGACAGAGAGGCCGGGCCTAGGCGCAGGGCGAACAGCGAAGGAAGTGCTCATAAGTCAGAATAAGAGTGGAGGATGTGCGTACGCTATGTAGCAGCGTGGCCATGAGCGAATGGGAAGAGGGGCATGTTTAGTGTGGACGTGGCTGAGCGTCGGCGTTTGAAAGGGCGCTGTCCGCCGCGAGTCGGAGCCAATACATGAGTATGTACTAGAAAGCGAGTGTTCAAACACGTATCCAAACCATGGCATTCCGGTGGCGGCGGTTAAACAACCTACTGATAATTTGTTATTTAACCTACCAATAAGAGCTACTAAGCTAGACTTAGGCATGGCGAGCTTAGCTAAAACATTAGTAGTAACGTGTTCCACCAGTCATCCGGCCACACCAGTCATCCGGCCACCCCACCAAACTTGACCTAACCCTCTACACAACAACAGCTATGACGCGACAACAACGCTCTCTATCGCCTCAAAGGCAAGGTAGACTTTGTCTTGCATCTCAATCAATTCAAAGACATCAAATTAAGAGTCAACGTAAAGCTGCTCAGCTATTTAATGTTCCTCGTTCAACGCTTTATGACCGCCTTTAAGGTAGACAACCTCAAGCTACTGCTAACGCTAGAAAAAGAAAGCTACTACCTATTGAAGAGCAGTCTCTCGTACAATGGATCCTAGACCTTGACCGGCGCGGTTTTCCGCCCCATATTATCGATGTGCGACGAATGGCAGACGCTCTACTCGCTGCGCGCGGCCAAGATCCACCTCCACCACCTGTTGGCAAGAACTGGGTGTCGCGCTTTGTCCAGAGCCAGCCAGAGCTCCAGACAAAGTGGACTAGGAGATTTAATAGTCAGCGCGC